AGGATAGTCATTCCTCCTCTCCCCTTCCCTTCATTCCACTTCTTTGTTCCAGTGGTAAGATAGTCAGAAATGGGGCTGCTCCTCCTTATCTTCTGCACGTGGAGCCTTGATCTCAGCTGGAACTGCTAAGTGCTACTGTGATACTAGTAATAAATGAGAAAACTGCAATTCAGGAGAGCATTTCAGAAAACTGAATGTTCATGAAACATGCGGTGCATGAAACTGCAATTTCAGAAAAACCTAATTCTGTACATTTTCTACTTAGTAAGAAATCTTCCGAGCACGTACACTTGGACCCCAGCACTAAAACCGTCAAACTTCCAAACAAGCAGAGAAACAGGACAAGCCGATACTGGGAACAAGCCAGACACCAACAGCATTTCCCCTCATGAATAATACTGAATACATGAACGCAGAAGGAACAGGACATGGATGCTAAGAACATCCCTTAAGTTCCCATTTTAAAGCAGCTGCTTAAATACCAGCACTGTTTTTCAATCTGGACCTTAGGCTAATTTGGACCTGGTGGCCCAAGCATGATCTTCACTGACCCTGCGAGGGAGCAAAGCAGACAGAGAGCAAAGAGTGCCCAGGAATGGGGAAATCTGAGGCTGGGGAGGAGCAGAGCAGGGCCCGGACTCAGCTTTGGTCTGATAAGTTTATCAAGCGCTGCCGGCTGCTAACTGTCAGCCGGCAAAGTGGCCTGTTAGGGAGGAGGAACAGCTCCCAGGGCAAGATAGGACAACGCCGGCCTTATCGGGGCGCCTGGGCCGCAGAGGGAGCTGGAGAGTGAGCGCTTCCCAACCACCCGGTCTCCACAACAGACGGATTGGCAGGAAAGGCCTGTCAGCCCCTGGCTCCTGCCGCTCCGCGCGGGAACAGCAACGAGCCCTGATCCATGCAAATAAGCGAGGTAATTGCAACATGGAAGTTGCAAATGTGCACACAGGGCTCGGGGAAGGCACAGCAAGAACGCTGCCCGCAGGGGAGAGGCAGATTCACAGCAAACAGCTTGGATGTGGGTTGAGCAAACGGCCCCTTTTGGGCACCCTGACCAGCACCCGTGCTGTCTCACCTAGGTTTGCAAAGACGAACTTAACCCTTCAGAATAACACTAATCATTGGGCTTTTGCATGCAGGTAACTACCTGCTTCCTGCTTTTCCCCTTTATTTATTTATTTTGAAGAACAGTCAATAAAACAAGCAAATAGAAGAGGAAATACCAAACACTCTCCACAGCATTAACCAAATAATAGAGCTGGAGATCACAGAGAGGCTCTCCCGTGTCTGCATGGGCACAGTGAGCACAGGCTCCGTGCCCCAGGGAGCAGGATGAACAATTCCCAACCGGCACGTCCTCTGCTCGGCCTCTTTGCTGAGGATGGTGGCACAACAGGATGGAAACAGCATGAGCCCTTCAGCTCAGACACTGTGTTTCTGCAGTGCAAACTACCCTAATATCAGGCCAGTACTCATTTAGTAACTTGATTAGTAGTAGACTATATGGGGAACCATCGCCCTGCATCAGGCCCATCCTTGGCCCTTGGGCTGCTTTCAAAGGGGTGACTTGGGTCCTGCATCTGTTAAGGAATTTTGCTGAGATCTCATCCAACGCTCATCCCAACCCTAAGCTGAGTCCAGCTGTTCACAGCTGGCTGGGGGTCCCAAGCCCCCCAGGCTGTAGGAAGTGGGAAGCTCCCTGCATCAGCAAATCTCCAACATGAGACAGTCATCCAAAGACTCCCTTTTTTTCACAAGTAAAATACCTAGCGAGTGATTCAGTTCCTCCTAAAGCACATATCTAAAATAGGACAGATAAGTCACGCCTTTAAAGCACCTACTTCTCCCATCAATCAAAAAGGGGGCCTAGAATGAATTGTGGGTATGAAGACATGTAAAGTCACACGGGATGATTCACACCTGTAGTTCTTGCACTGCTCTTGGGTCAAATTTCACACAGCTCTTCCTGCTCTCCAGGCCATGAGCTCTACAAGCCATTTAACTCCTGCAAGTTTTAAGTACAACATTCCAATTCAGCATAGGCCAATGCAATTCTGAGGTTCAAAAATTCCTCTTAAAAAAAAAAAAAACCCACAACCTCCCCCATTGATTCTGCCTTCCTTTTGAATAATTTTGAAGCAATGGGACTTTATCTTGCCTCCCAGACCCTGCTATATTGGGAACTTCGGTGGGATTTTTGGCAGTGGCCAAGTCTGATGTTTTCCTCTTTACAAAATAAGAAATTATCTCTTGCCTCAGTTGGGGAAGGGGAAGTCAGAGATGATGGGACATTATTTTTCCTGAAATGGTCCCATCCTGAGAGTGCGGCCACGGGGAACGAGTGTGTCAGTCAGTCACCCTGCCCAGTCCCTTATTTAGATCCAGCCTGTTCCTGCTAAGCTGTGAATCAGTCAGGCTCAACCCTGATACAACAGCATCCAGAGAGGAGTTCAGAAATGCAGCTCACTCGGATACCAGAGCATCGTGGAGAGAAGTAAACGGGACTTGCACAAAAATACTAGATGATCTCTAGAGGTTCCTTCCAACCTTAACCATGCTGTGATCCTGTGGAAAAAGGTTTTAACCCCAACTCTGCCTTTGTCAGTCAAGCTGAGCTAGTCGTGACCCCACTCTTTGTCCCAGGTATCCCATGTGAAACACGGGGATAACAACACAGGCACACTCCAAGATCTACAGATAAGAACAAGATATAATTGCTGCACATGCCTAATCATCTTACACAGGAGTGGCACCCGGCACTGTGAAACTAGCACACAAATTGCATCAAGTGTCAAGCAAGGTTCCTGCACTGGGATCTGCCATCCTGACTTGCATTTTCCCTTTAGCTGCTGCTTTGCTCACCTGGACCACCTGGAAGTTTGAGGCAGTCTTGCTTCTTAAACAAGAAGTTTCTTGTTAAACTTCCGTTCTTAGGAACAGCATCATGTACTACTGGTGGGACTTTTATTTTTGTACATATCTTTCAGACATCAGAAATATGTGTAAAATATCTTCTATTATCTTAGATAAAGGATACAGCTGACAGTATGAGAATGAGGGTTGGTTTCAGAGTGAACATACATGAGACAACTGAGATTTAGTGTCATAACTGGAACTTACAATTAGCTAGAAAGACCCCCGTGTGCTAGGTAACATCACGACAGTGGTGTTGGAAGAATGACACTTCACACTTACAGAGTGCATTCTTCTAAAGATTTCAATAGGGATAAGATGCATTCAAGTTTTGTGGAGCCTATTTTATGAAAAGAAAACTAAGAGTCTAGGAGAAAGTGCCTTATCCCAGGTCATATTGAAGAGTAAGTGAAAGACTTGAGAACTGAACCAAGGCATTTTAGCTACCAGGTTCCACTGTAATCATGAGGCAGTGAGAAAAACTCAGACCGACTATGATGTGAATAACTACATAATTCACCAGTTGTTATACCAGTGCAATTTGGTGCATTCTCTCAAAATACAGCAAGATATAAAGAGGAGCATGAATGTCTGTGAGCCCCGAGACATCTTTGCTCATGATGGACCATATCACACCTTGCTGCTGTCTGAAAGCAGGCACCTCACACCTTGACCTATTTCAAGTCAAATCCCCCTTCTCCTAAGCGTGTATTTCCACAGAAGTCAGAAGGCCAAATAAACAACACCCCGCAGGGCTTAGCTCCTGCTCTGCAATGTACATTAGCTTTCTCCTGGGATCCTTTTGCTGGAGAGGCAACACAAAACCTTGCAGTTGTCAGATCTATAATTTACATTTTGGGACACTATCTCCCGCTTCCTCAATCCCGATGTCCCCGAGAATCTTAGCTCGGAAAGGGATGTGACTCGGGCCTTCCACTGCAGGGCTGTCATCTGCAAACCCTGAAGTCGGGACGTAGCTGTGGTTTTATCACCGGCCCCCAGCTGCCTCTGCAGCTCTTGCCTCCTCCCTGATGATTCAGCAAATCTTCTCTGAGGAGCAAAACAAGCATGAGAGTGAACAAATCACAAAGTCAGATTACAGATGAGCGGGGAAACACTGTGGCTCAAAAGCGGGAGATAAAGACCGGTGAAGTCACATGATCCAAGGCCTGGCAGGCCTCGCAAAGACTTTTATTTTTGCAAGGGGTTAATAGAAACATGTAAAATATCTTTATAATTTCAAGTCTTTGCACCTTAAAACACCACCACCAACAGAAGATAAATTTTTGACGCTTAAGTGCTGCTACTACTAGGCAGAACTGACCTAGTTTTCTCTGGATTTGTGAGTTGTTCATGAAGATAGATGTATTTACCTCACCGACTATGCATGGCTCTCAAAACTGTACAACCAGGAGGCACGCAGAGCCTTCAAAACACACCATTCCTGGCAGGTAAGCTGGGGGTACAAGGGAAAGAAGGAAGGCCGGGACAAGGGGAGGCAGCAAATCCCAGGCCACCAGGTTCTCCAGGGCACCAAGACGCACGGGAATGGCAAACTGCTGCCCCAGCACCACAGTATTTCACTCTGGGAAGACACCTGCCGCTCCAGGGCACTTTTCACCCCTTTCCTCAGGCAGCAAGTGCCCCCTCACACTTTCAGGGAGTTTGTGTTCAAGTGCAATCCCCGGAGCTCCAGCATCAGCGCAGAGCTTCCCGGAGGGACGACAGTAGAGCAGAGGCTGCAAACGCGGCAGCACTGCACCCTGCAGGCCAGAGGCACCGAAACCACCGCTCTCCTTGGGGGAATCCCCGCTTTTAAGCCAGCCTCGTCACTGAGCGGGGACGGCGAGGATCAGTGTGGGCTTCTAGCTATTCTGTGTCCGTCTCCGAGCCCTAATGCGCTGGGCTCGGCCGGCAGGCCTGCCCGTACCGACCTGCTGCCGCCCCACGGCCGCTGCTCGCGCCCCGCGCCCGCTGCCGCCATTTTGTGCCGCGGCGCGCGGAACCTTTTTGTGGCGGAACCTTCGCGCCGCGGCCTATCGTGGGGGGAAGGGGGCGGGCGCCTCGGCGGGAGGCCCCGGGGCGGCATGGCGGCGGGGGGCGGCGAGGCGGGCTCGGCCGTGCTCGAGCTGCCCCGCGCGCCGCGCCTCGTGTGCGTGGAGCACCCGGGGCTCGTGCGCGACGTGGGCGCCGCGCTCCGCACGCTGGGAGGAGAGCAGGGCGTGTCGCGGGTGAGGGCGCCCGCGCGGGGCCGGTTGCGGAGCGGGGTCCGCCCCCGTGGGAAGGGGCCGAGGGGGGCGGGATGGCGGCCCGGGCCTTGGTGACAGGCCCTGGGCCTGGGGGTTGGGGTGAAGCCTCCAGGCCACCTCTATCCATGAAAGATTATCCAGGGAATCCTGAGCGGGATCAGGGCAGCCCCGGGATGTACCCATGTGGGCAGGACAGGGAGTCACAGTGGCCAAGCTCGGAGGGGACGCGAGGACGGGGTGCTGACCGAGGGTGTCCATGTCCCCCAGATCTACGCGGACCCCACGAAAAGGCTGGAGCTCTATTTCCGCCCCCGCGATCCCTACTGCCACCCTGTCTGCGCCAACCGCTTCCCCACCTCCTCCCTGCTGCTCCGGGTGACCAGGAGGACCAAGAGGCAGCAGCAGCAGGATGCTGAAAAGCAGACGCAGCCAGAAGTCAAGTTTGAAATGGAAATTCTGGGGATTGTCACAACTGTTTACAAATTTCAAGGTAATACCTTGATATTTGGGTCTGTGTGGCTTACAGACTAGCACAGCTGGTGTGTAAGGGAAGTGCTTCCTTTAACACTTTTCTTTTTCCCCCCTTAATTTTTGTTCCTTGCAGGAATGTCTGACTTCCAGTACCTGGCAGTGCATTCTGGACCTGACGGCAAACAAATCTCCATGTATGACAAAGTCCTAATGCTGAAACCGGAGAAAGAAGAATTTTTCAATAGGGAGCTACCTCTCTACATCCCCCCACCAATTTTCTCCCGCCTGGACACTCCTGTTGACTATTTTTATCGGCCAGATATACAACACCGGTTAGTGCCGTATCTCACAGCATCATAAATATCTGTATTGGTTCCTGAGTGAACAAACAGTGAAACCTTTTCCTGGTTTGAGACGTATTTCTAATAGCTCTTGCAGCATTAGAGTAGTGTTAAATACATTATTATATTTAAACAATAATCAGGCTGGAGCTTAGTGCAGTGTGTGCAGCAGTCAATGCCACATGGTGCCATGATCATGTTCAAGGGAGCTGTTCTTTTCTGACCCCTTGTTTGTTTTTCTGGCAAAACAACCTGTGATATATCCCACAAGAAACATCTTTCACTTTCTCACTGCAGCCTTCCACTGGAACTAAAAATGCAAATATATTATGTAATTTCAAGATTGAAGTAGTAACTCCATTTCCATGTATGTTCCTGAAGTTAAGCAATTTGAGTAGAGAAAATATAGTGTGAATCATAGGAGTAAAGCCTTTTGTTTTGCAAATGTATTTCATACAAACTACCAATAAACTGCCTGAGGGTTTTCAGGCACATAGCATAGGGGAATTCTGTCATAAGGAAACTGAATATAGTTTTTCTTTCTTTTTTTCTTTTTTAATTTAAATGTCCTTTGCACAATGTTTTCAGTTAAACGCTTTTAAGAGTCTTTTATGGTTACCAGAATGTAGTCCCCAGATCTATAGTGAGGTCAGGCCGCAGTTAAATCCATAGCTCACATAGCTGCAACTTTGGAAATTTGGAAAACAAACTTCATTTTTGTGTGTTCCAATGAATGCAACACACAGAAAGCAATTCCAGTACTTTGCACCGTTTCCTAGGGATGGATACAACAACCCTCAAGTATCCGGTGAGAACCTGATTGGCCTCAGCAGAGCCCGGCGCCCGCACAACGCGATCTTTGTGAACTTTGATGATGAAGAAATCCCAGCTAAACCACTGGATGCTGCTGTACAGACCTGGAAGAAAGTGTGCACCAATCCTGTGGATAGAAAGGTGGAGGAAGAGCTGCGAAAGGTACGTGTCCAGTGCCTGAGCTGGACGGAGTGCTGTACTGGGGCAGGCTGTGTGTGAAAAGCTGCATTCAGCCAATTTCTTTGACCTCCGGGAAGATTCTTGGCTTCAAGAATCTTTTGTAGACTAGCAGTTGTCTTGCTGGCTTCTCGGAAGCTTTAGAGGTCTTGACATAAAGTTTCTTTGTTAACCTTTCTATAAAGTAAGATTTGAGCCCCAACTAGACCAGAGTATTTAAGCTGGGACTTTGGGTTCAATTCCAGTTCAATATCAACGTTCCTGTGTGACCTTAGCCAAATATATATTTGCTTTTTCCATTCCCTAATCTCTCAAAGGAGAGGGGCTGTGGTGGCATATTTTGCCAGGCCTAGGAATATTTTGTGTCTTGAACAGCTGTAGCTCTCCATGTAAATAACGGGTGAGATAATCGAGGCATGACAAAGTCACATCACTGAAGTAAATTAATGGCATGTACCTAGGCTCTGAAATTGTGTTCACCAGAGTTAACTGTGTTCTGAAAGTCTTTTTTTTTTTTTTTTTTTTTTTTTTGGTTTGCCTTTTGTCTGACCAGTTCTGCTGCTCTTGCGGAGAGCAGATTGACTATTGAATGAATATAGGCTGTTTTTCTAAGGATAACAACAGTGCAGATCAGTAGTCTGACAGATGCAATAAGTCTCAGTAGACTAAACTGCTGTGTCCAGTTCACTTTGCAAGTCAAGGTCTGAGTCTATCTTTGCAGCAAAAGTACACTCAGTTCCTTTTGTGCTGCCAGCCTTTTTGTAAGCCAGGGCTGCCAGCCTTACTTCGGGCTATGCAAATTGCCATTATGACAGTTAAAAGGCTAAAACGTAAGAAAATCCACTGGGAAATTGAACTTTCCACTGCTGGTTTGTGTTATTTTAGCTCTTTGAAGTTCGTCCTGTCTGGTCTCGGAATGCAGTAAAGGCCAATATCAGTGTTCATCCCGACAAGCTGAAACTTCTCTTGCCATATTTGGCCTATTACATGGTAAGTCTCTGGACAGATCTGCTTTTGTTCCTACTTCAGGGAGGTGGGAGGATCACTTGGATTTTCCTGGCTCTTTACCTGAACATCTCCTAGTGTAGGAGTACTGGTGCTGAAAGTGAGGAAAGAGCTGGAAGAATCAAAAAAAAGAAAAAAAAAAAGAAAAAAAAAAACCCTTTGGGCAAAGAGGGGACATATAAGAATTTTCTGATAAACTGTAACTCTGAACAGTCTGTAGTAACTGTCCTTCTCCTGTGTGTTTACACAGCTAACAGGTCCCTGGAGAAGCTTATGGGTTAGGTTTGGGTATGACCCCAGAAAACACCCTGAAGCAAAAATTTATCAAGTCCTGGATTTCCGAATTCGCTGTGGAATGAAATACGGTAAAATGGCCCAACTCATAGAGACCCTCCTTGTGCTTTCTGATTAATCTTTGTAGTTCTTTTTATTTGCTTTTTAAACTCCAAAGTCATTTTTTTTCATAAGTTTCTGCTCTTTTGGAGAGGCCATCCCTCTAGAATTAGTTGTTTCCAGTATTTACTTTGTAAACACATTTAATAATTGATTTCATAGTATTTCCTCATTAGCACAAACCAAACCTAGAGAACAGCTGACTGATTTTGCTCTTCCATGTTTTCAAAGCCCACGTGTACGTCTGCAGGCATCTTCCCTCACTGTGGGGAGGCACTGAGCAATGCATTCTGTTGCTTTTATAGTAGTTATTTCTCCAGCTTGTGCAGGATGCTATCTTGGACCTTGGGACGTAGGGTTTATCTGCTCTTATTTTGCAGAAACAATGAAGGGAACTTTCTGAGATCATATCATGAGCCTATAAGGGAACAGTATCCAGTAATTCATTTGTTTTTCTGGCATTTCTCGTCTCTCTATCTCACTGAAATCAGTGATTCCCAAAGATCAGCTTTCCTTGCACACACTAGTACTTCTGTTACTGAGCTAGGGTTATTCTGCAGGGTACTTGCCCTCAGTTCAATGTCTGTTTTCTTTTTCCACCTCTAGGTTATGCCCCTAATGATATGCCAGTGAAAGCAAAACGCAGCACATACAACTACAGCCTGCCCATCACTGTCAAAAAGCCAGGTAGGCTGAGCTAGAAGTGCTCTTTGGCTGCTCTATGTTTCCTTGGTTTATCCCTTCCTTGACACCAGTGGTGAAAAGTCTTCCAGCTTAGTCAAAACTGGAACTTTATCTCAGGTTGCAATACGGTGCCACTGTTAAAAAGAGTAGAAGAGTTGCCTCTTGAGAAGTGTTGGGAGTTTGGATGCCTGGCTGGCTGAGCTAGAGTGTCTACACAGACAGAAGGGAGTCTGGGGAGCTAGACTACATCAGAAAAGTTTTATCATAACTGTTGAAAAGTAACGTGTGTTTTCCTTATTTCCTGCTCTGCTCCCTAAATGAGGTCACGGGAAGGAAGCTCCAACAGCCAGTGAAGTAGAGGGGGACCAGGAAAGTTGCAGGGAACACATTCTGTAGCTCCTCAAGTAAAGCAGTGGAAAGTCTGCATGCAGTCACTTTGGGGAATAGAGTAGCACAGCACAGAAGGAATAGAAAAGGCATCATCAAATGTGCTGTGGAGAAAACACAGCCAAACTCACCACCAAAATCATGATTTGTCATGGAGTAACTTCTTTCCAGAATGAGCAGCACACGCTCAGTTGTTAGGTTGGTCTGCCTTCTGCTGAACAGCAAAGGTGACCGGGAGAAGTGACATTACAGTGCCCCAGTGTGCAGAAGTTCATTTGTTCTCTCTTTCATCTTTCAGTGAGTCACACAGTCAGTATACATGATCTGAAACAAGGACTTGGTACTTCTGCAGCATCCACTTCAAAAAAGCCTGCCTCCAGCAGGTACAAACTGAAGGTTGGTACTAATCCCCTTCTACTGAGATCTGGAAATAGTCTAGTAGAAAAAGGATGTTTTCTGTCTTGTCAGGCACTTAACGGTGCAGATTTCTCTTTGAGATGTGAGTAATTTGGTGTCCTTTCGTTTAACTGGAAAGTTGCTAGTTGTATCTTGCACTGCAGAACTTTGATCTGCTGCTCATTTAATGCATATCTTACAAGCTGCAAGTTGGGATGGGTACTCTCAGCCCTAGTCCTAGATATAATAGACATTTTGTTTCATCCTGAGTGTACTTTTTCCTGATTTGGAAATCTTTATGGTCAGTGAAGTACAAAATACTCTTTTCCTTTTTGCTGGAATGAAGCCTACGATCCCTTCTTAAGCAGTAATTGTGCTGTGGTAACTATGACTGCAGTGAAGTGCTGCTATATTTCTCCTCCAGCTTTATCTTTTGCCACATGCAGACTATCCCTCCTTGCCTTGAAACTGTTGTATAGGAAGTGCCTTGCTCGCAAATCAGCCTGTAGGAAGTACTTTCCAGTTACATCAAAATTGACCTATTACATCATGAAACACACATTAAATCTGTTCCTTCTTTCCTCTTTGTAGGAATCTATCTACATTTTCCGAGAAGGAGCCTTACCACCTTATCGGCAGATGTTCTACCAGCTCTGTGACTTGAATGTGGAAAGGTATTGCACGCTGGTAGCAGAGTCTTCTGTTAGAACTAGTTCAAAACCTGCTATTTATATCCAGGCAATTCCTCTCTCTCTGTCCTCGATCAGCAACTTAGGAGATTTTTAGCTTCTGAATAAAAATAAAATTCCCTCATAACAGCAATGTGAATAACCAAATATGATACTATTCCAGCTTATTGAAATATCAAGAAAATAAGACATTCTTTATCCCATTTGAAGCCTGTGTCTGACTACAAGGCTAATTTGTCCCCCTTTTTGCTGCTTTTTAGCTTACAGAAAATCATCCGTCGAAATGATGGTGCAGAGTCGGAATGCACAGAGCGGGATGGGTGGTGCCTCCCAAAGACGAGTGATGATCTGCGAGATTCCATGTCTCTGATGATAAAGCAGATTATCAGATCCACAAGACCTGGTAAAGATGCTTCTGAACCTCAAAATGCTGAACGGCATCTTCCTGCCTTCCTGGTGGTGTTGGGAGCTTGTGCGTTGAATCAAGACAATGCAGTTGTCCCCGGGGCAGCTGTGTTCCCATTATCACTCCTTTCTTTGTGGAGGTTAAATGGTGGCGCTAGATCTGGTGCTGGTTTTGTTCCAGTTCATCACAGTAAGGGAGATGAACCTGTTGTCCTGGGCTGGGATTATAAATGGCTCGCAGTGGAAATTTTCTATTTCATCTTCCATGTATCATAGAGTTCAGGTTATAAATGTCTTTGCCTGGTGTTGTCCATGATATTATATTTATAGATATATTGCTTGATGCAAAAATTATCTTGACCAAGGAGAAATGAAAAAGTTTTTTCAAGATGCTGGGCAAAATTAGTATCCCAGTGAATTATGTTAGAATCAGCTAGGTGAAGACATATGATCGAGCCAATCTGCTGTCCTAGCAATTCTGGAGTGGGAAATAAGCTGCTCTGGTTCTGATCACATTGTGTTGAGGTGCAACATTAGCTGTGACCTTCAGGCTTCTGCTTTCTTCTCACTTGATTTAAGAACCCTGCTGCACATACCCCAGGTTTCACTGAGAAAGGAATTGTAATATCTTCCCCTCTTTCTTTCCCCAATTAAGCTCTTTTCTCAAGTACAACAAGCAGTGAAGATGGCAAAGAGCAGCTGACTTATGAATCTGGAGAGGATGAGGATGATGAAGAGGAAGAGGAGGAGGACTTCAAGCCTTCTGATGGGAGTGAAAATGAAATGGAAACAGAAATTCTGGACTACGTATGAATACAGTGAGCGGTCTTGCCACAATGGGATAGACTCTTCTGCTTCTTTTCTCAAGTGCTGAGGGATTAGCAGCCATGCACTGGATGTGGAAAAGCAAAAATTGCACTAAGATGCCATCTACTCATCTGATCCTGAATGTGGTGCCTGTTGATGGCCATCATTCTGGATGGTGCCTACATTTTTTGTAAGTGCTGGCCAAAAACCCCTCATAAAACCAACAGCATGGGGATACTGTTTTCTTGCCAGGCTCCAGCTGGCACTTACTGTTGCAGCTCTTGCTAATTCAAGGGAGGTCAGTGGTCCTTCATTTGCTCTGTTTCCCTGGCTGTTACGCAATGGTGTTTTTATTGTCCTCCTCAAATAAACTGCAGCTTCAATATGCACTCAGAAGAAGGATGAGCTGTTCTTGGGCAACTATGGTGGCTGGGCTCCTCAGTTAGGACTCACTGTCACATTTGCTTCTTTGTTCCAGTGTATGAGATTCAGCCATTACCTCAACTGTAATTAGGCAGCATTCAGCTGATTAAGCTTGGGAGACCACACAATTCTTGGATCTGTCATCTGGGTCAACTGGTAAAAGTATGAATAAAATTAACTCCTTGAGGAGAACTGTAGGAATTAGTTCACTGCTGACACTTCATCAAGAGGCTCTGAGGAGTGTCAGTCTTAAGTCTATCAGAGCCTGCAAAAAGAGCTCTTCATAATTATGCATATTTGAGATGGAAATTATTATTTTTAATTTACTGAGCCCTGGGAGAGCAGATGATCAGAAACCACCTGCCCACACGGCAGAGGATATAGTATTGCTAATAAGTCAAATAAGCCAGTACTCCTTTTTTTTTTTTAATAATTTTTTTCCAGTAATAACATCCTTCTCCTTGATCTGTTTTCTTTCACTGCAACTTTTATATGTAATGTAACATATTTGGATAATTGAAACATAGTAGTTTTGGGGGCACAATGAAGAGTTAAATTATTACAAAATCTTTCAAACTGGGTTTAAGAAGGTTTATGCAAGAAATCAATCTGCTTTTTTTTTCCGCCTTTAGAGTCGGATCCTTTCCTTTGATCTGTAGCCTGCACAAGCAGCATCTGCAGGGCTCTCACAGAGTGATGCCAGCCTATCTCTCTGGCCTCAGGCAGCTGAAGGACAAGCATGTGGGGGACTTGCCTTATAGCCTATAAGGGGTCACAGAGGTGCATGGATAGCTGCGCCGCTGTCGATATATATAACCCTGCACACAGGGTCTGGCTCCTGGGTGCACATGCAGCATGGCTCCCTGGCAAATCCTGTGCTTGGCCTTGTGCTGCTGCCTCGGGGAAACATGGGCAGCAACGGTAAGTGGAGAGGAGTTTCCTTTGGCTTTGCAAGATTTCTTTCCCCTCTGCATATCTGAGTTAAAGGAAAAAAAAAGATGGTGTGGACCCCATTAAAGAGGCTCTGTGAAATTTGACAGCAAAGGCAGGGCTCTCTCCTGTGCTAAACGTGCCAAAGGCTCTCACCGTTTTCTGAAAGCTCCCTCCCAGTCCTGGGTTGTGTCTGGCCTGGGTTATAGCTGAAGGCTGCAGTTATTGCTCCTGATTCTTGGAAATGCAGGGAAATTGCTGCCGTCTGCCCGTGGTAGAGGAGGCTGCAGGACACTTGCACTGGAGTAAATACCCCTGAGCAGCAACTACTGGGGGCCGCCCATGGGGGTCAAAAGGGACAGCAGGAAAAGGGGGCTGCAAGTCAGGCCATGCAGGGGAGCAGTCCAGCCAGACCACCCGGTACTGGTGGGTGCTGGCAATGGGAGGCCAGAGGCAGGAGGTGTAAAGCTGTGGATTTACTCTTCTCTCTTCCCAACGGGACAACATTTAGCTGGGTGTGGTGCGCACGGAAGGAGGTTTCGTGGAAGGTGAGAGTAAGAAGCTGGGGCTCTTTGGGAACTACGTTGATATCTTCAGAGGAATCCCCTTTGCTGCCCCTCCGGAGATTCTGGAAGACCCCCAACCACATCCTGGCTGGGAAGGTAAGATCCAGTTTTTGAAGACCTTTGTTTTTCTTCATTTGTCTTTTGTCTGTTAGTGCCAGAGTAGAGGTGTTGCTGGGTTTGTATACTAAGCAGTACAATGAAAAAGTAATTTCCCAAGAATTTCAAGTAGCCACATGAAGCAGCCAGAGTTGTCAGCAATAAAGGGTCCTGCTTTGTCATCCTCTTTGCCTGGTCCCAACGGCTGTAGAGACCTCGCTCCCTCTGTGCTGGATGGGAGGGGAGGATGGGTGGACAGGTTGCAACCGAAGGACAGAGTTGAAGCCTCTAAACGGTGGCCTGTCTTCTCCTCTCTCCCATCAGGAACACTGAAAGCAAAAACGTTCAAAAAACGCTGCATGCAGATGACAATGGCACAAACAGATGTCCGTGGGAGCTTGGACTGTCTCTATCTGAACATCTGGATCCCTCAGGGGAAGAAGGAAGGTACGTGCTTAGCAGAGGCCTGGGGAGGAGACTCTTTGCTGCCTTTTGTTGATAAACTGCTCTCAAGCGTGTCTCAGTAGTAATGTCCGCACATTGAGCAATTGCAGAAGCACTCGTATTTCTGGGATGAGGGGAAACATGTCAGTTAATGCCCCTCAGCTACAGCCTGCCGGATGCTTCAGTCTCATCCCCGAGCAGAGAGTTTCTTTCACGCTGTTTCTTTCTTCTTGCTCAGTCTCCAGCAACCTGCCCGTGATGATCTGGCTCTACGGTGGCGCCTTCCTTGTTGGAGGTGGCCAGGGAGCCAACTTCTTCAACAACTACCTCTACGATGGCGAGGAGATCGCTGTGCGGGGCAACGTCATTGTGGTCACGCTCAACTACCGTGTGGGGCCCCTGGGCTTCCTGAGCACGGGTGATGAGAACGCACCAGGTACAGCAGCTGCTCCCTCTTCAGGGCACCCTGTTGTTGGTCCCTGGTTTGTTGACACTGTGTCAACGTAGATTGTGACCCTCAGCTGTCTCCCTGCCCGGAGACACGGGCTCCCTGCCCAGAGAAGAGCAGGGGAGGTGCAGAACTCCAGCTCTGGCTGCAGCACTATGTCTTGTGGCAGATCTAGAGTAGGGGGGACACCTAGGCCAGTAGCTGGCCCTGATTCGAATGCTGCACGGTGGAAGGAGCCCCAGCCACCAGCTTTTACTGTCCTCTTGCTGAATGACATGTCCTGTGTTGCTCAGGGAACTATGGGCTGAAGGACCAGCACATGGCTATTTCATGGGTGAAGAGGAATATCAAGGCCTTTGGGGGTGACCCAGAAAACATCACCATCTTTGGGGAATCTGCTGGTGGTGCCAGTGTCTCCCTGCAGGTTTGTTCTCAAGTTTGCTGTAGGCATGCGAGCTGCTCTTCTTCTTTTAAACAGTAGATATGATCAGCTCAGAACACGGTTCCTTTCCTCATTGGGAGCTCCATGCCCACTAACCAACATCCACCCCTTCACAGGGAAAACAATCCTGGGCCTCTTGTCTTCACAGTTGCTCCTTCTCTTCAGTTTAATCAGGCCTGAAACTACAGGCATGTTTTCTCTTCCAGGATCTCTGCAGTAGCACTTACCAGCTCCCTCTGTTCTGCTCCTTTTATTTCTTTTAACTTTTGACTACGCAATCTGGGAGAGCTGTGGCAAGAGGGGGTCACCGAGACCCTTAAATAATGAAAGAGTTGGCAGCTTCCCTGGGCCTCCCCTAGTGCCAGAAATTGAGTCTGACAAGCAAGACTCTCTCCAGGACTTGGTACCAGAAGACTCTCCTGTTTCTCTTCTGTGCTGCAGATACTGTCCCCATACAGCAAAGGGCTGTTCAAAAGAGCCATTAGTCAGAGTGGAGTCGCGCTCTGCAACTGGGCCATCCAGAAGAACCCTCTTCAGTGGGCTGAAAAGGTAACGCGATTCAGCGCAGGGGCCTGCAGAGGTGGCCTGGGGCAGGTGCTGCTTAGCAGTGTGACAGGGGCTGTGCCCCCCCGGGCACACTGGGGTTCTGCAGCTCTGCTGAAGTCAAAGCCTTGCTTGAAGAAAACAAAGTCAAGCTCTAGTCTATGAAATCCTAACAAGGAACTAGACAAGGAGCTAAGCTCCCAAGCCCAATGCTTTACAAACACAATTCTTTGAAATTAAACCCAACTTCCTCTCTGCCCACGTGAAGCCAGGAGTGACCTTGGCTTCAGAGGATAATACCAGACAATTTATTTTCCTCTGCAGATTGCACAGGCCGTGGGCTGCCCTACAGACAACACAACTGTCCTGGCTAACTGCTTACGAGTCACGAACCCCAAATCTCTGACCATGGCCTACCACCAGGAACTGACCAACCTGCCCTGTAAGTCGCCAGCGCCGTGGTGATGGGGAGTCACCAAGAGCACCTGAAGACACCTTTGTGTCTTTTCAGAGGGAAGGAGTGTGGGATTTCCCAGTCCCCCTGCCGCATGCAGGTGCACAGTGTGCTCAGTGAACACTGTTATTCCATGGCAACAGTGACAGATGAGTTATCTTGATGGCCAGGCCTTGACATGCATGGTCCAAGCTCACCTCAGAAAAACTGTTTGCACTTGGTTTGAAAGCAGCAAGAGCCATCAAAGAACATGGTTTATAGCAACAACAAATTATCCCAACCCTGCTATTTTCACTTAAGTCACTGGGTGGAGTATAGGACTCACCAGACGTGGCTTGATCACAGCAAGCATGGGAGGCTGGGGATTCTGTTGGTCTGGAGAATCTCTTTCCCACATTTCCGCTTGCTCTCTTCGTGCTCCTAGTAAATAGCTCCAGGATTTAACCCTGCTGAGGACAGAGAGTGGGCAAGCCAGTGTGGGGCAAATGCACTGTCCCAGGTCTATGGTCTTGGCAGCAAGTTAGCAGAGATAAATGGGGTGGGAAGGAGGTCTTCTGCTCTATCTTTGACTAGGATTTTTGGGAAGGGATTGGGGGCAGGAGATGGCTTGTTGATATTACCTGTCCATATATAGCTGGCGGATCCCTTGCTCTTCTCTTCCACTTACGGGCATGAGATTGATTGAATATGATCCCATGGCCACCCTGCTGCTGGGTGAAATCCTGGCTGCACTGACATCACTGTTGAAACCATCCCTTACTCCAGCATATTCTTCCTACAGTTCCCTGACCTATAGGGTAGGCCAGGCCACGGGTCAGTCTTCTTTTGGCTCCTAAAATGTTCTGTTTTTCTCTCCTGCTGCAGCTCCCCTTGTTCATCACCTTGCCCTCACCCCTGTTGTGGATGGCGACTTCCTCCCGGACATGCCGGAGAACCTCTTTGACAACGCTGCCGACATTGACTACATTGCGGGGGTCAACAACATGGACGGGCACTTATTTGCGGGGATTGACTTTCCTGGTGTCAACCGCCCGCTTGTGAAAGTGACTGCGTAAGTGATGGGTGTTCTCAAAACCGTTAACAGAAGGAACCATCTTGAACATGTTCAAGCTCAGAGAGCTTAGACCTGAGTGGACTGGGCACTAATTTCAGTAAAGGATCCAAGTCAGGGTGCCTAGGGTCTGTGTTGCTAAGTCTGGTGCCTTAAAGAGAAGTAACCAGTTAGGGAGAGGTCTCTCCATATATCTTTAAATTGCACCTGAACTCAACCCCAGCCCTAGGCTTGTCCTCTCTCCTGGAGCAGAGCTGAGCAAAGCAGGTAGATCCTGGGTGCACAGGGCACCTGCCCTGTAAGGCTTCTCTTTGAGGGCAAAAGGAACGTGTGGCTTATTCGTCCCCAAGCTGTTCAGCTGAGAAAGACATGAAGCACGTGTCTTTCTTCTAAGCCCTGGACTGATAAAATCAGCTTTTAGTCCACCAAAAAGCTGACAACTGCAGGGTTGGAGGTGAACTTCAGAGAGCTGCAGACTGTTCCCATAAACCTTGACCCACTTCAGGCTGCTGGTCTGTCATTGATATTATCTGTCTTTTCAGGGATGAGGTCTATAAGTTGATCCAAGGCCTGACGCGGGAGAAGGGGGAGAGAGGAGCCAATGCAACATACGCTCTCTACACTCAGATGTGGAACGCCAACCCTGACCAGGAGGTTATGAAGAGGACAGTGGTGGACGTGACCACCGATTACATGTTCCTCATTCCCACACAGTGGACCCTGAAGCTCCACCAGCAGCATGCCCGGTGAGCGGTCTGCCTTAGAGCCCAAAGCCAGCGCCATGGCTGGTACTGAGTACACACTGACGTATAGCTTTTACGGACAGAATTTCCCTATTGCTGCAGAGCAGTCATGCTGCAAGCTTGTTTTAAATCCCCACTACAAGAAATCACTGCTTCTTAAAAATCCCAAACTTTATCTTGGCAGTGTCTGATTCCACAAGGTGAATCAGCTGGATGATACAAGCATTAGGGTGAGAATCAGAAACTGAAGTTAAAATCACCACAATAGAAAGATGTTTTCCCCTGGGAGCACTTAGACAATTCCAAGCACGTGGGCATCCTCCAAGGCTGCCTCTCTAGCTCTGCCAATGTTGTGAATCAGCATCCCTTTCCCTGCATTCCAATTGCAGCTGCTTAATGAGCTGGTTTTTGTTTATCCAGGACCGGCAAGACGTACAGCTATTTGTTCTCCCAGCCATCCCGAATGCCCATCTACCCAAGCTGGGTAGGGGCAGACCATGCTGATGAGCTGCAGTATATGTTTGGAAAACCCTTCTCCACACCCCTTGGCTACCTTCCCAAGCACAGGACTCTCTCCAAAGCCATGATTGCTTATTGGACCAATTTTGCCAGAACGGGGTAAGTGCCTCTGCTTTCACGTTCAGGGCTTGTTGCAGCAACTCTTTAACCTGCCCCTTCTGCTTATTAACTTCTTGGGATCAATTCCCTCTGTCCATACATCTGTTGTAAACTCCACCCTGTAGCTGCCAGGAGCTGAGTTTGCTCTAGGTCCTCTTGCTCCAGAGAGGACAACTGGGAACAGCTGAAGCATTTAAAAATGCTGAAGAATTTAAAAATCTTATGATACCTGCTTAAACTTAATGATGAAATTTGTTTCTGAGTCCTGGAATTCAGAAAAGAGATAAGCTGCTGCTAGGGGGGAACAAGGGAGGTGAATGCAGGTAGGCAAGTCATTCCCAGCACGGAGAGCCGCTCTCACATGCCCCAGTGTCAAATTCTCTGTTGGCACGTGCTTAAAACCACACCTGAGCACAGCTTGGATTCTTACCAAAAAATACAGGTTTTGCTGCATCGACAAGCTATCACAATATTTAACCTCTATCTCTTCCTCCTTTCTTTTCCAGTGATCCCAACACAGGGCATTCCAGTGTGCCCATTGGCTGGCTGCCCTATACCGTCCAGAACACCAACTACCTGGAAATCAACAGCGATATCAGCTACGATTCGGTGAAGCAGGATCTGAGATCCTCATATGTGAACTTCTGGTGTTCAGACTATCAGAAACTGCCCCAGGCTGATGACATCCCCCTTAAATAGATCCAAGCAGAGGAACTGCTGGGCTTTCAGAGAAACATCTTTTTAAGGGAATACCCAAATCATTAAAGGCTTGCTTGTATCCGAGTCATTCTGGCTTCTCCACGTGGTTGCCTGGGTCATTAGCCATGTGCCTTCTTGGAGGCTTACCCCATGCTTTCTTAGGAATATTTCCCCTGGCTATGCAGATATTTTTACTCCAAACACCTTCTTAAACATTTTTCAAGAGCTTTCTAAGAATTCCTTTTCAGGAACTTTCCTGCTACTTTTGAGGTCTTTCCTCTCAGCTGTCAAGGAATTACTGGATCTTAAACACTCCTAGCATCATCTCTGTACTCTCTAGGTACTGTTCCAGTTCTTTAGAAAGCACCAGGAGTTTTTCTAACAAGTGATTCCCATATGTTGCACTTTCTTAGGTATTTTCCAGTGCTTTCAAATAATCAACGCATTACAACTCTCCCACTAATTTTCTAGCTCCTCTCTGAGCCTTTTCAAGAGTGAGATCCAGAACCATTACAGTTGTTCTTAAAACCAGAGTAAAACCAGAGTAAAATCAGTAAATTAGACACCAGACGAAATGCTGCTAGGACAGGCGCAAGCTCCAGTGCCTCACAGCTTCAGCAGGGTTGCTCGACATGACACCAGTCCCCAAAACAGCCCCTTTCTTAATCACAAAAATGACGTCCCAAGGCTCGGCCACCTTCGTGCCACCACCACCTCTGTGAAAGGACAATACCATCCCACCAGGGCGGTGGGGACGCGTTAGCATCGGCATTTTATTGCAAAGACTAATTACATTGCAGTGTACAAGTCTCCGAGCGGGTGGCGCGCGCCTCCGTCGCGACGGTGCGAAACCTCAGGGTGGCCATGGCGGGCGGCGGCAGGTCTTACCTCAGGCACTTGCTGCCTCCGCGGCAAGGAGGAGGCGAAGGTTGGCGCTCGCAGAGGCCGTGGAGGAAGAGGAGGAGAGGCCGCGGCGTCAGGGAGGCCCCCCGTCATGCGCAGCGGCGGCCCCGGGCACGTGCGGCTTCCAGCGCTTGGGCCTGGCCGCGCCGGGTTCCTCTGCGGGCTGGCGGCCATGTCGCGGCACGGCCGCCTCAGCGATGGTGGCCATGTCGCGCGCGTGGCCACCACCGCCCACTCCCCTGGGCTGCGTTACACCGGCACAGACACACGCACAAGCAACGGGGAGGAGAAATAAAAAAAATTAAAAAATAATAATAACAACAAAGATGTTCCGTAAGGAAGTGTTTAGACAAGAGGCGGAGTCATCAGCAGGTCCAGGAACAAAATCGGTCCCCCTTTGGTTAGTGTTTTTGACAGTGGTTAAAACAGAAGCACCTCCGCGCTCTGGCTTGAGCCGGCGGCAGTGGAGGAAGGAGGGAGAGAGAAGGGGAGCGAGGCGGGAGGCCATGGCTGCTACAAACGTCCCTCTCCGCGGCTTTAAATACGAGGAGGGGGAAGGCGAGGGAGGGCAGGGGAAGGCTGGGTTAGTAAAATGTACAAGTGTCTCTTCTATTTACAACCAATAAATATCGTCAAAAAAAGAGTAAACTTTGTCTTTTTTATAMAAAAAAAAAAAAAAAAAAACCCAAAAAACTCACTGCTGCATCTTCCATGGTCAGCGTTTGGAAAAGTCTGGTTGAAGTCCAAGGCAGATGGCACTTCCAGGGGACGGAGCAGCCCTGGGGCAGCTCTGCCGCTGCCGAGGGAGCCGCCAGGTCTCTATTTACAAAAGTCCGGACTTGTCCCCTAGAAAGGGGCTCTCCTTGCTTGGCCGGCAGCGCGGTGGGGAGCGGGAGGCCGCCGCCGGCGTGGGATCTTTGGTGCGAGGTTTGAACACGGGCGCCTCCGAGTGCAGCTCGAGGACGTGCCAGCCGCAGCCTGCCCGGCTGTGCCTCCGTTCCGGGAGCTTTTCCCAGGACAAGGGCGGCAGGCGGCGATGCCAGCGGTAGGGAGGAAGGAGCGGGAGGTAAAACAATGCCGGGATTGGCGACGTCTCCCAGCAAACGGCCCCCTCTGTGAGCTGCCGGCCCCCCGGCTCGCGCAGACACAAGGCACCTACGGCAGAGAGGCGGGATCCAGCTCGGGGCAGCCCAGCGGCTGCACTGCTGTCGCACCGTGGAAGGAGAGATTTTTAAAAAAAAAAAAAAAAAAAAAGGAAGAGAAAACCCTAATCCCACAATCACTAGGAAAAAAAAAAATCCCCCTGCTGCCTTTTCTGTGTAGAAAAAAAGACCTGATTGAAATGGGAGCTCATGCAGGGAGAGGCCGCATGGCGGGCGGCTGCAGTGACCCAGGAGGCTCCCTGGAAGAGGGGGATGCGTTGCCGTCTCCTGCGGGCCGGGGCGGCTCCTCTTGCCATGCCCGGTGGCACCACGTGGCCCGGAGCAGCGGGGCCCCAAGGCCCTGTCGGTGAGGGGTGGCAGTGGGGCTGGAGCTAGAAGATGCCCTTGGCGATCTTCAGGCCTTTCTGCTTCATGCGGGGCAGGGTGGAGCTGGAGCCGTGCTTGATCTTCACGCCCTTTGAGAAGCCCCTCTTCTTGAGCACGAAGTCATAGTTGGCGGCAGAGTTCATGGCGTAGAAGACGTTGGCGTTGTCGGGGATTTTGAGCTCTGGAAGACATGGAGGGTGCGGATTAGCTGGATGTCCTTGTTCTGAGTAGGGCCCAGAGCTGCTACGGTGCTGTCCCCAGGCGCTGAGACCCGTCCGACGTCCCCTCCCAGCCCTGCTCAACCCCCAGTGCTCCCCGTGCTCCTCAACACACACCTCTCTCCTCCGAGATTATCTGGACAAGCTCATAATCTTCAGGACGGTCCCCATCCAAGTTGTGTTTGGCCATGGCCTTGCGAATAACGACTGGTGTCTTATCTTGGCTCGTCACCTGTGAGAGAGCAGAACATTCGTTAATCCAGGGGCAGCAAAATGCCGGGAAGTCCCAAAAGCTCCAAAAGCTCCCAAAGCTCCCTGCATCCCAATGGTGGGTCCATCCCCGGCTGGGCTCACAAAAGGAGCCTCTTCCCGACGTGTCCCGCTCCCAGCCCACCCGAGGTCACCACCAGTGCCCTGTGCTAACCAGGATGCTCTTGTACATGTTGCCGTTGTCCACGGCCAGGCTGACACGGATGATGCAGCAGTCGTCGACCTGCTGGTTGTAGAGGGGCAGCGAGAGAGATGAATAGCTGGAGATGCCAGAGACGGAGCGCTTATGGGTACGGGAGGCCGTCACCGGCGTGGAGGAGACGGAAGAGGACGAGGCACTGCTGGAGCCTGAGCCGATCCCCGAAGTGTCCAGGGAGGAGAGAGAGGTGGATTCCCAGAACTGGAGAGCAGGGAGGAGAGGGGACGGAGAGGACACGGTGGGTTTAGCTCCTCCGTCAGCTGGAGACGGGGCGTGCGAGCGCTGGGGAAGGGAGGTCAGAGGAACTCACTGAGCTGTGACAGTGGGGACCAACACAAGGCCCAACCGCCGGAGAGGGGAGGCACAGGAGCCCCGTGGCTCCAAGGCGAACCCCCAACAGCAGCAAAGGCCTCCCGAGCTGCAGCAAGTCGGAGGCAGCCGTATGGACCCCACTCCCGCCATGCCGTGTCCCGCGTGCCTGCTGACACGCGGCGAGAGCTCCGCGAGCTGCCCCCTACCTTCTTCTCCTGGCAGTCGGGGGACTCGGGGATGAAGCTGATGTTGATCTCCTCCACGTCGGAGCTGCTGGAGCCGGCGGACGTGACGCTCACCGAGTCGGTGGTGTCCCCGCTGCACAGGTACTGCCCGCACTTGAGCTGGTCGAAGGATTTGGAGTGGGAGCTGCCGCTGGCGCAGGGCTCGGTGCTCGGTGGCTGCCGGCTGCCGGGACAGAGGGAAGGAGGCGGCCGGGGTGAGGAGGACGGATGGGACAGAGAAAGCAGAGCGGCCACCTCTGCGTCCCAACCAGCGGCACGAGCTCCCGCCCCATGTGTGCCGGGACCGACAAGCAGACTCACTCGCTCCATCGCTTGATGATGCCCGTGTTTTTCTTCGTCTTCAGCGTATTGCTGGCCGACTCCGACAGAGGCTCGATCTCGCACGACAGCCCGTAGCTGGCAGGGGAGAGAACAGGGTTGGGCTCCCCACGCTCCCACTCGATGCGGCCGGCGCCGCGGGGCTTGGGAAGCCCAGTGAGGCGCTGAAGATGAAGAAGCTGCTCTTCAGCTTGCTCTTCTCCTGCTCACCTCTCGGCCTCGCTCAGCCGCTCCAGGCTGTGGAACCAGTCCACAAAATGGTCCTCCTGCGTGAAGCTGTAGTTGTTGCAGGCCGACTGAAGCAGCTTGATCTGGGCAATGACTTCGAATTCCTGTTGGGAATCAAGTGCTGAAAGCTGCTCTGTTTGCCTGGTGCCAGCCCCAAAAACCCCAGCGCCATGCGTGGAAATGCCTGTGAGGGACCAACATCTCCCCGCAATAACACAAAAAACAGGACAGCAAAGCAAAAAGAGGGATCATCATCCCCGAAGTGACTGGTACAGCCTGGGCTGGCACATGATCAGTCTCCTCCCTCCACCCAGCCCCGTGGCCAGCAGTGAAAACCTCTCACCTTCCTTCTCTTCTCAAAGTTGATCAGCCCTCCCTGAAAAGGAAAGGGTTGGACATCAGTGTGAAGCAGGAGCAGGGTATTTTCCATATCCCTCCGCCCGCTCCGGGTGCTGCCGCTGCAGTGCGGGTCATGCCCACCACGGGGCAGTGTGAGAGTGGCCACGGCTGTGGGTGACGCACAGAGGATGTTCCATAGCTCCATGGAGGATGTTCCATGGCTCCCATGCACAGGGGTGCAGTGTGGGATGGAGGATGTGCAGGGACGCGGCCCTTCGTATGTCACCCCCTCCTCACCACGGATGTGAGAAGGCGATACGTACGTCCAGGAAGTCCTTCATGGCGGTGTCGAGCATCACCAGGTCTGTGAGGAAGGTGCCGAGGTAGGGAATGGTGCCCTGCATCACGCCCTGAGGGGACACCAAGGGACAGCAACGGCGTCAGCACAGAGCTGTCAGCACAGAGCTGCACCGGCACTGCAGGCCGTGGGGAGGGAACGTGGGGCCTGCGATGCCCCACTCACCATCTCCCGCTGCTGCTGCTGCCGCTTCTGAGCCCTCTTGGGGTTGATCTCCAAGGTGGCGAATTTGGACGTGCCCTCCTAGATGAGGGGGAGAGCAGGGGTCAGCAAGGGGGGAACCCATCCAGCAGCCCCATCTTGCCCCGCAAGGTCTGCTGCGCCCTTTGCTCTCTGTGCCTGGATCTCCCAACTACCAAAACAGAGATAAGACTCTGCCTCATTTTGTAGGAAGTTTTTCTTTCATTCTGTAGGAGCTTTTTTCTTTTGTAATAGCTCAAAACCTCAGGAAAGAGAACACCCTGAAAGAGCCACAGATAGCCACCTTACGAGATAACACAGAACTGAGCTAGGAGAAAGAGACTATTAGACAAAAGATAACCAATGTCCCAACGGGAAGCGGCCCTGACATATAGGCTGAATTTCACACCCACTTTTCTTGGTACAACTTCCCTTGCAGACAAGAGCAAGGGGAGGAAATCAAAGCGGAGCCTGTTTGTGGCAAACGGGGAGGACAGTCCCAGTGAATGGAAGTGCTGCTCCCTGCGTTGGGCTCTGCACATAAACAGCTCCTCAATGGGAGGTTTTGTTCCCTTGCAGATCCCGGGTGATCTCAGCCGCGGATTGCAGCTCGGCTGCAAAGCCAAGGAAGGTCCCGTGGGGAAAGGGCAGTTTTGCAGCCGCCTTCCCAACCCCACCTTAACTGGAGGGGCCGCCCCACAGAGCTGCCCTTTGCACCAGGCTGTTAAAAGGCGGCTGCCCTTGGGGAGAAGCCACATCTGGTGCACGGGACGGCGTCCAACAGCTTCTCTCTACCTGCTGCGCTGCTCAGGCAGCAGGAAGCGCCGTGGGTGGAAAAGCGGGAAGCGTCGTCGGCAGCCAAACGCTGTCTGAAACCGCCGCACAAGCCACCCCTGCCCGGCTGACTCAGAAACGCCCCAGAGCTGCCTCTCCCTGTGGGCCCAGCAGAGGTTTGAGCTCCCGACAAGCAACAAGTCCCTCCCAGCCTGAGCTCACACGAATGCAAACAGAGACAGAACCAGCCCTGGCTGAGATGTGCACAGGCAGAGCACAACAAGCTGCTCTTTGGGGCACCCTCTGTGAATTCCCCAGCAAAGATGCAGCAACGTGGGCGGTGGGAACCCACTTCCCCTACCTTGATGAGGAGTTCCCGGCTCAGAGAGTGGTTGTTCTCATCAGAGAAGATTTCTGAGAGCTCGTGGAAGGTGCGGAAGCTCTCCCTGCACGGGGAGAGACCAGGGAAATGAGCAACGATAACGCAGTGCCTGCGGGCGCCCTCCACTCACCGCCTGCCCCGTTAGCACTCACCGCTCCAGCCCCTCGGGGATGTCTTGGGGTGTTTTGCAGGGAGGAGGGAGCAGTGCTGCTTGGGCCCTCCTTAGATCCCTGACATATTAAGCTTGTCCCTGGGTTTAGAACACCCTCCAAGAGGTGATGCCGAAGCCAAGGAGAGGATCCCATGTACGCATTCAAGGGACACAGCTATAGCACAACCCCTGGCCCTGCTGCCCCCTCCTCTTCTCCTTCCAAGGAAGCAACGCTGGGCAGCAGCCCTTCCCTCAAATCATCGCAGGGGTTCTGCTCACCGTAGCACCTCGTCCCAGGTCTTCTTTAGCCGGTGAACTGCGTTGCACTGCAGAGCTGAGAGGATGGCTCGGAGGGAGGAGAAGTTCTTCAGGATGCGGCACTCCTGAGGACAGACAAGGGGACGCGGGACCCAGCATTAGAGCGGGTCAGCCAGCCCTGCACGAATTCACATCACAGGATGCTTCAGATCTCCCCTGCAAACTCCTCGCTTAAGGAGAGCGCATTCCCCCCGAGGGTGCCCTTGCACAGCGCTGCCTTTCAGGACAGACTCCAGGCATTTGCTGGGACGCGTGGTGAACCCAGCGGGACACAGGGCTGTCCTACCCGAGCCACTTCAATCCACCGCTCCACCACTTTGGCTCTCTGCTGCGGCTTCAGCGAGCGGTCCCCAAGGCACGTGGCGATGACGCAGTTGGCCACGCTGTTGAACTGGGAGACGGTGGCGCGGATGGTGGGTGCCAGATGCTCTTTGCCTTTCTTGTCTCGCTGCGACCAGATGCAGCCCAGGCAGTGGTAAGGCACCACTTTCTTAAACAGCTCCTGGAGGACAAAGGGATGGAGATGGGTCTCTGGGATCTTGGAACGAGAGCAGACAACCAGCAAAAGGCACAGCGGGAAGCAAGGGAAGAGACAAGGGAAGGTCTGTGCCCGGAGCAGCAGGTAGGCAGAGCGCTGCGCCCCAGTGCACAGCAGCCAAGGACTTGGCTGTCCAACCAATACTCACGGCGTCCATCAGCGTGAACTGCTCCGCCACCATCTCTGGTGAGAAGGAGAGGAAGTCGGACTTGCCCTCGCTGAGCCCGTTCTCCTCGGCCAGCTGGAAGGGGCAGCTGCCGTGCTCCACAGCTGCGAGGGAAGGGCACCCAGCTGAGCACCACGGCGAGGCCAGGCCCCCACATCCCAACTCAAGCGCTTTTCCAGCCTGCTTCCCCATCAGCGGGCTCGGATAAAAGGACAGCCACATCCTTTGGATGCGAGTGTCTGCTGAGGATTAGCTAATCCATTTGGAGACCTCACTTCCAGTTCACTTGGATTAACTCCTCCACATAACTGCAGTTAGGATTTCAGCCACATGGTGAGATCTGAGGGTCTGGAGACCCTCAATGCTAACGGGACCATCTCCCCCCACAGCCCCAGCCCCTCTCGGTGAGTGGGGAACAGCCCCCCACCTTCTGCCTCGGCCTCGCTATGCTCTTGCTGCTGAAACTGGTGGAGCAGGATGCGAGCTCGGCGCTCCAGGTCCGAGCCGGGGATGTTGTGGCGCACGTAGGAGATGAGCTGCTTGAGGCAGGCGAAGTCCGGGGGCTTGCGGAAGTCCTCCGAGTACTGGTCCAGCCAGGCGCCCAGGATGGAGGAGATGGTGCTGTGGGGAGAGCACAGAGAGGCTCAGGTGAGACGAGGGGTCACTCGAAACCTGTGTGCACCTGGGGACGAGGAGTGCGGGACCACACGTGCCATCGCACAGCTGAAGAACCACCACCACAGCCACTCATCTCCAACGTGCTGCCACAGGGCTAGTCCCAAGATTAGGCAGGAGAGGGAACGTGGCCCTGTGCTTAAAACGAGAAGCTGGACTCGACCTTACTGTTCCAGAAACTTTCCCAGCCCAAGAGCCTCAGCTGGGAATGGGATCAAGTTTCAGTAACTCATTTCAGTGACATCCCCACTTGGAGCGCCCAGCCTGACCTCGCCGCAAGCAGCCCATCTCCAGCACCCGCGAGGTTTTTGCCTCCTGGGGAAGGCTCCACCCCAGCCTTTGCGAGCCAAGGGACACAGATGCAGTCCCTGCCCACAGCAAGGTCCTACTCACTTCTTCAGCTCCATCCTCTCGTCCACAGTGTGCCTGGCGTGGTCCCCGTTCGACTGCGCGTGGAGTTTGCCATATCTGAGGGGAATGTAACGAGGAGACACTGAGCGTTCGAGCCTGCTGCCTCCCAGCTCCGGGTCCTGTCCCTCCTGGTCACCCAGCAGCTTTGGCAGGCTTCCTTCAAGATGAACCTCCCTGACATTGTCCTGCTTTCCCCATCCTGCCAGGGCAGCAAACGTGCCCCAGCCCCGAGCTCCTGCAAACCCTGTCCCGCTGCTCGGGACAGGCAGACGTGCGGGATGGGAATGCAAAAGGAGATGGAGCATGTGCAGGAGACAGGGGGAGCAAGACAGCTTGGATCACAGGTGGCCGGATGAGCTACGGCAAGGCAGCCTCAGGCAGAGCTCCTTCCTGGAAGCCTTTATTTTGTCCCTAAGACAAGGGACAGATCCCAGACGGGCAATGACCCACGGCTTGTCAGCAGCCAAGGCCACAGGAGCTCCCCTGCCATGGGCCCGGGCCACCAGCAGCACATTTAGGGGTGAGCAGCAGCCTCACCTGTTAAGCAGCAGGTCCAGCACTTGCTTGGTGGTGGCGAAGGCCCGGTAAGTGCACAGGAAGATGGTGACGTAGGTAGAGTCATTGCCCTTGAAGGCCGAGACCAGGTACTCCACGAGCTTCTCCAAGGTGCCGGCTTTTATCGTCCGCACCTTACACGTCTCGTAGAGGTTCAAGGCAGACTCGTTCTCGAACTGCGGGGACAGGAGCGCCAGTCAGCAGCCGGGAGCGCCGCGCGCCGCGACACCTGCGCACTGGGGACATGCCGGGTGCCGCTCTGCGCCGCGGCACCACGAAGGGACGTGAGGCTCAAAGGGAGGCCAGGTCCTCTGGGACACCAAGCGGGCAGCCCTGAAGGCCGGAGTGCTGGAAAGTCCCAGGGAAGGCTGCGGGGTGGCTGGAACCCACTCGCCAGCCCCTGCACTTCTGCTTGGAAGCCACAGCAAGGGGGAGGCAACGTCGGCAGGACGCTTCCAAGCAGAAGCGTCCCTTCCCTTCCCCACTTCTGTCCCTTCCCACACCCCGGTACGAGGGGGTAAATCCCCACGACGAACGGGAACTGAAGCAACGTCCCCACAGCCCCAAGCTGGGAAGTCCTGAGCTGCTGCGCACTACGCACGCTTCCTCCTGTTTGCAGGGCAGCTTTTGTGCTAAAAGGGAGTTAAAGACACGCTCTACCTCTATGGGGAGCGCTGGGAGGGAGAGCATCAGCTCCCCTTTAGCGCTGGCTCCGGGCTTGCCCAGTGCAAATACTTCTTCAGCTCAGAAAATGCAGAAGGGGAAAGAAAAAGGGAAGGAAAAAATACAGAAGGGAGAGAAAAGTGAAGCACATGTGGAAGGGCAGAGGAGATCTGCTTGCAGGCAGCAGCCCTGTCTGCAAACAGGAGTCGTGGGAAGGCTCCCATCTGGAAGAGGCTCTTGAGCAGCAGCAGCAGAGGGACAAAGAGGACAGGGGACCAACCTGGAACCCTTCCTGCACCAAGAAGGGTGCCTGGGGAAGAGGAGGCAGGACGTGGGCTCGTGCAAAGCCTGTACAGCGACTGTGGCAGGGAGAGGCCTGGGAAGAGCGAGTGGAGGCTGCGGAGCGCGAAGGCTGGACCCCGTGGAGGCTGCAGAGCACAGAGGCCGGGCCCTGCAGAGGCCGGGCTCCACTTACCCCCAGCCAGCGCTGCCCTTTGTTGGCCGTGTGATGCAGCTGCACCTTCCGCAGCGAGATGCTGTAGATCACGCCATCCTCCAGCTCTTCACCGATCTCCTGTGTGGAGCTCTGCGGGGGACAACGCGGCACATGGTGAGATGAGGAGGAAACGCAAGAGAGAAACCGCTGCAGGACCCAGTGAGGCAGCCAGCAAGGCACAGGGGACAGCCGGGTGCCACAGGGCTTCACCCACCCCTGCCACACACGGGGCACCATGCCGCAGCTCCGGGCCCCTTGCAACCCTTCATTGCCACCCCGGGGCACCCCAGCCCTCGTGCACAGAGCCCTGGAGCCGTGTCCCGGCCTCCATGTGCCTGCCCTGGCCAAACCTCCGCCCTTGCCCAGGGTGATGCAGCCTGGGCAACCCGCCACTGCAGCAACCTGGGCTCCTCAGCACCTAACTGCACCTTATGTGATCAATAACAACTGTGCAATAATCTAGGCAATAAATAATAACCGTGCAATAATCTATACAATAAATAATAACCGTGCAATAACCTAGGCAATAAATAATAACTGCAAATCCAAGCTGCCTATGAGCAGCAAGTGGCCCGGCCTCGAGGAACAAACTGGAGGTGGGGAAGCAGAAACACAGGAAAAGACTATGGAGCGGTGACGGGCAGGTGCCTGGCCATGGGGCACAGCTTTCTGCTCCCAAGCAGGATGGGGACTTCCTAAAACGTGTTAGGAAAGTGGAGATCCTTCCAAAGGCCGATCCCAAGGCAGGAGCCGGGCTCTGCTGGCTGCTCTCCCACTGGCCGGGAGCCTGAGCTGGCTCCTTGGCGGCTCCGGCCCTGCGAGGATCATTCGGGTTCCTGCCCGGCCCCCCTGCTGAGTCAGGGCTCTCTCCCCAAGCGGATTGGAGTGGATTTAAGCGGATCCTTTTAAGCACTGCAGGGATCTCTCCCTCCTGCCGCCCTACCCGGAGCGCTGGGTCGAAAGCACTGCCAAACCCACTGCTGGCCATATGGGGAAAACACCTGGAAAAGCAGGAAGTGGGTCAGAGGCAGAGGGAGCCTTCCTGGGGCCAAGTCCCTGCTGCGTGCACACGGTGCCAGCCGGGCGCTTCCCGCAGCCCGATGCCCACAAGGCACATGGAAATGCCCATGGAGCAGCGACAGCCTCTGGAACAGACATGGCACCTTGCATGTGGGATGAGCTACGGCACAAATTTACTTTCAGGCCTGGATTTCGGGGATGAAAACTCCTTCACCCACCATCTACGGAGGAGCTACCAACCTGCATCCCATCTCAGCCGTGGTGCCTTTCTTCCCAGCGGGGATGCTGCTTCCAACAACAAGGAAGAAAAGCCTGCAAGATCTCCTTGCCGCTTGCCCACCAGCCCGTGGTGCCATGCCTTTGTGCAGGAGATGCTTTTCAGGCACGCAAACCCACTGCCCAAGGCCACGCATGGTAGAGCAAGGAGATCCCCACGACCAGGGCTTCGCAGCAGCTCTCCTGGCCTCTCCGCCTGCCGAAATCTCCCCTGCAAATCCCTCCTTTCTGTGGCTTCCCATTATTGTGCCTGTTGGCTGGAGGAAGGCTCTAGATTTAGTCTGGTTCAGTGCAACTCAGAGCAGAGATCTGGATATGCAGCTTCCAACTCTAGATACAAAGCATCCAAATAAAAGATATTTGCTGGGATGCAATTAAAATTAATAAATAAATCACACAGATACAGAATGTCCCAGGATCGATCAATGAATCGCTGGCAGCTGCTGAGCTACCCGGGTGGAAAGTCCTGCCATAACCATGCAGTGGATTTCACCCATGTGTTTCATGTCACAAGTGGAGGATACGCCTGATTTTGATGCACGTAGAAGCAAATTTCATTTCCTTCCCATATTCACGACTGTCAGATTCATTCATTTTTTTCCTGCTGACTTGGGTGCTGTCCCCCCAAGTTCCCCCTCTGCAAACCGCACAAAGCGCACGCCGCTTCCCGGCAGCTCTGGGCTAAGCTCGCCAAGGCTGCCACGCTCGTACTTTTTAAAATTTGGTTATTTATATTCTGCAGGAGCTTCCTCTTTCCTGCCGCTGGTTATTCCGAGACGCTGATTGAGCATTCTGCACATGTCTGTTATGAGGCAAGGAAATAACGAGCAGGATGGGGGCCGCGAAGACCCAGGTCGGCACCTGCACCGAGAGCGGGTTTCTCTCCTTGCACATCACTAGGACAGAGCCAGAGCCTCCAACTACGGTTTATTCAGGCCACAGGAGCCAAGAACTCCCAGATCCGCAGCCTGGCACTCCCAGTCCTTCCCTCTAGGGCTCCCGGGAAAGACAAACATCTTCACAATGGTCTTAAAAGAGTTATAATATGGTAAATTCGGCTGCAATGGTTCCTGGTTCCGGCTGTCTGCTGCCGTTATCTGTTGGAGCTTTCTACCCCAAAATGAAAGGGAACGGGGGGCTCGGGTGCTCAACCAGGGCTGATCTCACGCACAGGAACCCTCCTTCATCACCAGTTCAACCTGAAACACTGAACACGGCTTCAGTTTTGGCGAGGCGGGCGAACACGGCAGTGCTGAGGGAGCCAGGGCGGCCGGCACAGGCCGAGCCGCTGCCGAGAGCCCCAGCGAAGGGTGGATGAAGGCACCAGCTCGGAGCACCTTGCTGCTGAGGACACTGGGACCCCATTAGACTCCCATGGGAGGGACACGAGCAAATGACACCTGGAAACTCGCACGGAAGGTTAGAGGCACACAAGAAACCCCTGTGCTTGGCTAACTTGTCCCTGTGCCGGCGCGTTGGCCTCCACGGGCACAAAATAACCTGGTGCAGCAGGAAGGAATTTCAGCACCCGTGGAAGAGACAGAACCACTTAAAGTGCTTTTACCAATGCTCCCTGCACGGCTGCTGGTTGAAAGATTAAGACGTGTGCAGCAGGATTATCTTTTAGGAGCACAAATTGCCTCTTTTACAAGGCACATCAGCAAGCACGGGATTCTTGGGACCGCAATTCCCAAGGCCTGCGCTGCTTCTGCCACAGCAATGATGCCAGCTGGGAGAGCAAATGGGACACAGCCCTGCTCATGGCACATCCCAGCCTGGGAACCTGCCTCTGCTGGGAATCAACGCCCGGAGAGGGAACAAGACCGGGCAGAGCCGGAGCTCGGCGAGATCAGCAGCAGCTTCTCCTTTAAGCTCTGCGTTTGCACAAACTTGCAGGGATTTGCTGGGAAAGCCTCAAACGGAAAGCAGGGCTCTGCTCTTAAACACGAGTTAAGTTTTAGTTTCAAGTCCCTTCTCCAAGTCACGCTCTCCAATGTGGTCTCAAAGGGGCCTTTCCAGAAATTACGGAATCCACCTCACGAAACGCCGCTTCCTCCACGGGCTGCCCCAGCCCAGCGTTTACTTTGGCTTCCCGGGAACAAATCCCGAACCCGGGCAAGGCAGCAGCAGCTTTGGGGGTTCTTATGTAAGCCAAAACACGCCACATCATCCGAAAGGAAGCAAGAAAAGCCAAAGCCAGTGAAAGGAAAACAACCTCAGCTCTGTGGACTCAAGATAACGGCCACAAAAGCAGAAGTTCCCTCCGTCCTGCTCTCCCAACAGGCCCACGCGGCACAACCCTCTTCCTGGCAGGAACCTCCAGGCAGCGGCGCCCGCTCCTCCGCTCCGGGATTGCCCACGGTGTACCTGGGTTGTCCCATGGTGCCAGGCCCAGCACGTCCGCGTGCTCCTCGAGCTGCTCAGGGCTGATCCGCACCCATGGGTGCTCGGGACACATGGAGCTCGGTCAGGCTGACAGCAAGGTTGTACACACGTGGACACATTTGCTTTTCTCTCTTTTTTCTTCCTTTTTTTTTTTCCTTCTTTTTTTTTTCCTTTTTACCCCCTTTTTCTTTTTTTCTTTCCTTTTTCCTTTCCCCCCCTGCCTTTTTTTTTTTTTTTCTTTTTCCCCCCTGACAGCCTCTGCCTTCCTTCCTGCCTCTGAGCTCTCACCAACCAGGACCGATTCCAAGGGCCCATTAAAAAAATACCCCCAAAGCGAGGAACAGGAAAAGACGAGGAAAAGAGCCAGAAGGCTAAAGGCTAAACTTAAACCCGCTGTGAACCAGGGCTGGTTTTGCCAGGCTGCGGTGGCAGCCGGGAGCCTGTTCTCGTCATCAGCGGCTTGGCTCCGCGGGCGGCGCTTCCCGATGCTCCGCTCCGGCTCCGCGTGCCGGGGTGGGATGCAATGCGGGATGCTCCCCTTGCAGGGAGGTCGGAGAGGACACGGCCGCCTCCAGCCTCCGGAGCGGTTCCAGGGGCTGCGGGCGGGATTAGGGACTAAGCCTCTTAGCTGCAGCTAGCAGGCAGGGCACGTACCCCAAACCCAGCCCCGCTTGGTCTGGGTTTGCTTCTACGGGGAATTAAGGGCTTTCCACACAGAAAAGCTTTTCTGCTGATTCTGCACTCTGGAAATTACGAGTCACGGATATTTAGAAGTGCTTGGTGCCCACTTGGACCCCACCAAGCCACAGAGGTCAGGGGCTCCTTGGGGAAGAGGAACGACACCTGCACCAAATGGCAGCAAAGACCCCAAACGCAGGTGATTTACCAAAAATCCCGTGTCCCTGCCCGCCGGGCACCCAAAGCCCATCAGCACTTCTCAGGTTTTGCCTCCTCAGTGAAAAAGCAGCCCAAGGGCTGCCGCAGAGCAGGATGACCCCAGGCCTCCTGCAAGGGAAGGTGCCGGGAAGGGCTCCCTGTGCAGGCCCCCCCAGTGCCCCAGAAAACCCGAGGGCAGCAGGTTTTGCTTCCTCTCTAAGTTCATGGAAAAAGGATCCCGCCGACACAGCAGTTCCAGCTCTTGCTCCACATTTCTTGGCTCCGTGATCGCTTCGGCGTCCGCGCTCGGCGCCTACGCAGCACCGGGCCTGGCTACGGGGGATGCAGCTGGCGGAAGGGCAGCCGCTCTGCTGCAAACTCCGCTGCAGCCCAGCGGGTAATTACTGGAAGTGAAACCAGAAGGACACGGTCGGTGACAACTGGCACATAAAAAATTAATACACGTTGCTCCGTGAATCGAGATCGAGCGGCTCGCTGGAGGCAGCTCAGTTTTCACTAAGAAGGAGTAGAAA